GGGCGCGGGGGCCGGGGGGGGGCCCCTGCCGCTGGGCCCAGCGCCCCGTGGGGAGGGTGGAGGCTGTGCCTCTGGGTGTCCCCCTTTTCTTTAACTTTTTATTTAGTTTTATCCGCGTTTATGGCTTTGTTTTGAGTGGGGAAAGCTTCTCCGGCAGGACTGATCCCCTGGAGCACAAGGCAGCTCTGCGGGCCGTGCCCCGGGCTCCCCCGCAGGCTCCTGTCACTTTGCCGCCCCTCCAGCGTGGCAGGGGCAGGGCGGGCGGCTTCCCTCCTCTTTGTGGGGTAGTGAAGCCCGGCCTGTGAACGAGGCGGTGCTGCTATTATCTTTTAAATCGCTGTTGTCCCAAGAAAGTCATGTCCCCTTATGCTTCCTTATTGAATTGAACATCTCTTGCTTATCTGAAAGAACAGTCGTTTATAGTTTTTCAGGCAGATTGTTTGAACAGCGAACTCAAACAGCTAAAGGCATACCTTAAATTCTTCTGCATTAGTGTAAAACTCTAGTTGTTTTATATTTTTTATTTTCGCTTTATGTCTTTGTCCTGCTTTTGACTCTGATTAGTTTCCTAAGGCTGCCTTGTAATGGCGAGGTGGTTTCACCCACCTTGGCATTGGGGCATCTCACATTTGAGGAGTCCAGGAGTTAAAGGGGAAAGAGGAAATCCAAACTTATTATTGGCTAGCTTAAATTTCCTCCAGTGAAGTTCAGAACTTTTATTGGAAAACTTTGTGAATTGACATATCAGAGATGATTTTGGACTACTAGCATGCATTAATTCCTGGACTCACCAAAATAGAGTGAAGCTCACTAGAATGATCACCTGCATGGTAATATCAGTTTTGAGTGTCCATATAGAATTCAGGGTCTGAGACTTCCTTCCTTTATATTGTTGTAAATTGAACTTTTGGAGCTGCGCACAAGGAAAAGTAGTCCTTCTTTATTGTTGCCCGAGTTCTTCTGTGTTGCAGATGTCACCTAGTGATCCTTTAACTGTATTTAGGTATGGGCAAGGTATATGCTGTCAGCTGTGGCTGACACGCTTCTGTGGTCAAGGATGTGAGAGAAGAGGTCTACCTGTGTAGCTAAGCTGAGCTCTTCATACAGGATATCTCAGTAAAACTATGATGTTGTAAGTGCAACTGGTGATCCATTTGCGACATGGAAGGGGAAGATGGAGGCAGTTGTAATTGAGGTATGTCATGTTAGAAGTATGTGGTCACAGTGTCTGTTATGGGCCTCTCTGTTCGGGAGTGAATTCTCTGTTCTGGTTGTGCAGAAAATCTCGTTACACAGAGCCCTGCTCACAAGTCTGTGTCCAACAGGAAGATATGGTCTCAGTAGGATGAGGAACCAGTTGCATTGCTGTGGGGGATTGGGCCCCGATGGGATCGGGTATTTCTGAAAACATTCGGAGATATAAGAATTGCATATGACCACATACTGTTCAAAGATCCAGGAGTGCATAAATAACACAGCTGACACCTGGATAGAAATCAAAATCAAATCTGTTTCCTCGTGGCTGGTAGGGAGACAGCAGCACTGTGCTGCATGGCTATTGTAGTGTAGTTAACAGCTATTAAATAATGCCTTGGAGCTCACGTTGGCAGAAGATGTTGAATATGGCACTAATTGTGAAATATGATCTATATTCCTGAGTAGTAAATACTGTGCCATTTTCTCTCTTTTGTCTAAACACACAACAGCAATTGTATTTATTGAAAGTAACAAATTTAGATAATCTTATAATCAGGAATTGAGTAACAACTCTGCAAATGTTAAGTAAGCATGAAGTAGGCCTCTGAAGATTATGGTATTAGCAAAGTTCTGGTAATGATGTATTTTGAACTTTTGTTGTCTGCCATCTGCTTTTGTGCCGTTGGGCATTATGCCATGTTTTCAAGCTTTTGTCTGTAATCATAAAAGGTGGAAACTTTTTTTGTTTTGTTACCTTAACAAAAGCTGTGATTCTTGTGTAATTTCTTTTCTCTAACAGCTGGCTTTCAGTTCCAGCCCCAGTTTCACAAGACTCTTGGTATAATTATAAGAGAGAGCTGCTACATTCTTCCATGTTTGCAGGGACTGGAACAAGATTAGTCACTTTAAAGAAAGCAGCTGTTGAAAGCAGCTTTTTTGACATTTGGATGATACATCTTTTGTATCTTCAATCATTTTTGTTGTTGACTCTAGGTTTCATACCTCAGTTTTATTGAAGTCTTAGTATGGTTTCGATCAATATATGTTGATGTATGACAGTATGTCTTGTAACTAGGACTAGTAAATATATATAAAGACCTGAAGAAAGTCCTCTGGAAGTCTAACCAAATAGACTTATATGTTTTTTTTTTTTACACTTTGTGTGTAAGACATCAGGTTTAGTGGTCTCTAATTTCTGTTTTCTATTCAAATTTGACTTTTTTTTTTCTTTTAATGTTTGTAGGTCTGAATCACCTACTCTTACAATACTTTCTTATTGGAGCTGGACATCTTGCCTTTTGCTTTTTGTATTTCTTTGAACTTCTGGAGGGTCTTAAATATATATTGCAGTAGAAATTTACTGGTTTAGAGGAGTGAGGGTAGAAATCACATGGTATTTCTTGTTCTGAACAGGGGGTAATGTTAAGCTGTTGTGCTTCACTCAGATGTTATGTATGCTTCAGTGATGGGTAAAATTAGTCTTGTAGGTGCTTCTTTGTAAGGTATCTGGGGATCCCCTATTAGATAATAGTGTGTTTGCTGCTTCTGATACGAGAACACCGAGAGCTGCACACATTTAATTGCAGTGGCCTAATACCACCTTCGTTATCAATGAGATGAAGGAAGGAAGAAATTTCAGCTTTGATGTCAAATCCCAAGCTTTGCATAACCATCAGATTAGAAAAATTTATTTGTTTAGCAAAATGATGAAATTTGGTATGAAGATCAGTGAGAAGTGAGGAATATGAAGGCCTGCAGTGCCAGATTATATTGTTGCTGTTCTTGTCTTTTTGCCTTCTTTTGTTTTCTGCTTTTTCTAATGAAATATTCCTTGTGCATGTTTAAAAAAAAAAAAGATCCCACGTTTTTACTTTCTTGTACAGCTTCAGTTTTCTTTTCAATTGTTTATTACCTCTCGCATACTTCAAGTTTAATTTTAAATACCAGAATATTTTATTTGCTTGATTGTCTCTAGCCCTGAAAGTTTTCCATTCCCCTTCTTCCTCTCCCTTCTACCAGGAGACAGTTTGTTAACCCTAAGGAACGGGGAGCAGGCTGTTCCTGAGAAGTGGAACATATATGGAGGAATGGGCATGTAGACCTTGGTACAATGTTTTGGTACAAATATTTGGTACAATTTTGGTGCAAATATTGGTACAAATATTTGAAAAGAAACACTGTAATTTTTATCGTATAGTTATACTCTCTAATGCATTCAAGTACATAGAGCTTTTCCATCTGAATATTGCCTGAAGGGAAATAGCATTCTGCATTCCAGCTTGTAGACTTTGTCACTGCATGTAAAGACTCAGGATAGAAAAAAGTTAGACCTATGTAAGAAGAAAGTTCTAGTTTAATTAATTTGGTCTGCTGCTAATGCAACGTCTGTAAAGGAAACAGTCCCAGAAAACCAAGCTTTTGGAAGGCCACGTCAATGGATGCTTTCACAGCACGTGTTAGGGCTAGCAGGTGGTATAACATTTTTGTTTTGTTTATGGAGGCTTGATTAATTCATAGACACGTGCATACTCCCTGTTTTTTTTTTTTTTAAATGAATCTCTCAGTATATTCAGAACCTCATAACTATTCAGTGTTTTGATTTGTGGCACTTCCAAAATAGTGTTGCAAATAATCTTTTAAGTAAATCTAATGCAAACTTTATGGTTGCCAAATACTTTGCGCTTTAGTGGGATGGCTATTGCAAAATGCCTCCTGAAAAACTTAAAAGATGTGAGAAATCTGACATGTAAATTTCAACCTTATTTAAAATAAAGAGAAATTATGCTTGCTACAAGGAAAATAAATATGTAGAGGAAAGGTATAGTTCTAAGAGATGTGAAAAGCTATGAAAAGAATTGGAAAGCCTTACAAAAATCATGTTGTTACATACTGCTACCTGTAACTGTTTATAAGTCAGCCACTAAGCAAATTTGAGAAGTGGTACTAAACTTGAATCCTCAAGCATATGACTCCTCAAGGATGTGCACCTTTTAGGAAGATAGGAGTAAGGCAGGAAAATTGTTCTTTTCCATTTGAAGCTAAAATTGATACCTTTCCAGCAGTTTGGGAGAAATACACTTGCTTTTTTCACTAACTTATTCTTTTTTATGATCATTCGGTTTATTTTCTTTTCTCATCATTCCATAGGGTGAAAAATTTGGCCCCTTTGCAGGGGAGAAGAGAATGCCTCAGGAACTGGATGAGGACACAGATTGCAGGCTCATGTGGGAGGTGAGTAGTCCATAATGACATCACACCTAGTAAAATGTGTTCCCAGTATTATGTCATTACTATAATAAATCCTTTTTTTTAACAGCTAAAGAAGCTGTAGTTAGATTTTGTACTTATTGGTCATTTCAGAGTAAGCTTCTTTTGAGTGTAAACTGACTTCTTTAAAGAAAGAAATAGCAAATGACAACAAGCAGTGAAGTGTCAAAAGCATCAAGCCAGGAAAAATAAAATATACTCATGTGAAAAAATGGTGAACATATAAAAATAGTTAAAATTATTAAAGTTTTAATATGGAAAGGTGGTTACTGATTTTACTGTGATGCTTATTTATGGGGACTGACAGATATCAGATCATAGGTTCTTCCAACTACAATGTAGAACATTCCCTGCTGTGACATTTGTGTGAGGGTTTAGCATTTGTATAAAGAAAGCTTTTACATTATAGTAAAATTTATAATGCAATGAATAGCTGCAATTCTTTAGCAGAATGAAAACCTTGTGCCCTGAGCAGATGAAGGCATAGGGAATTTCAGGATTTTTTAAAACTCCTATATATATTGAACGGAACTACAGTTCATGTGCTAGACGTTATAATCAGGATCTTAAACCATACAAATTTCTCTTGTCCTAGCTGTGTTTACCTGTAGGAAAATCCTGTCTGCATTCTTCAGTTGAAGAGATACATTTTGACTGAAAAATACTTGCTATAACCAAGCTTCACAACTTGTTCAAAAAAACTGTTCGTCAATTTTTCATTTTTTCCTGTTCTTTCCAGTCTTCGATTCTTTCCAGAATTCCCTTTAGATTTTTCCTTTTTTTTTCCCTCAGCCAGATGACTGCAACTTGTATGTTGTGTGGCAGTGTGCAAAAAGGCTTGTATTTTGTTTCTCTCTTAAAGCACTGTGCGTTTATTACAAGGAAAATCTTTATTAAATAAAAAGCAACAAAAACTCTAGCATTAACATCACTGAACTGTTCATCAAGAGAGCATAGTATTGATGTGATCTTAACACAGCTAAAAATAGATTCTACATAGTGAAATAATTTGTAAAATAATATTAAAAGCCCATGTCATTAACCCCAAACTCGATTTAAATCTAGCAATGGCGTGCAGTTTATTTCTAGATGATTTTTCACTCAAGTCTCTGAATCTGTGCTCCTTGCTTTTTTTTGCCCTTCTCTTTGAATCACTCCTTTTCAATTTTTCCATTTTTCCTTTTTTTTTTTCTTTTTTTCATTTTTATTCTTTCTTTTTATCTGAGAGGTGTTCTCAAAATGCCCACTTCCCCAAAGGAGGTGTGGACTTGTCATTTCTGTGTCTTCTTTGGTTATGTACAGAGAAACTTGTTTCATTTTGTTTATTCTCAGCTGAAAACAAAAGGATACAATGTGCTTTTGTTAGGAATGCTTGCAGAATACAGCACGTATTGCTATGCCATGACTCCCTTTCCTTTTCAGGAGGCTTCTGCAGGTTATTTTAAATCAATAACATTTCTGAACTACAACAAGGACTCTAGGATGGATGGTGGGTGGATTATACCAATGAGAAGGTCTTTTAATTTATGTTGCTTGGAAAGCCATATGATCTTCCAAATGTCTCATTGCTGATGATTAAATGGAATTTGTCTGTTCTTTATAAAGCAGAAAATAAAAGTGAAATACACGTATTTATTGATGACACTGATGTGACCCCATTGACAGCAAAGCAGAAAATTAGTTTTTTATGAGCTGTTCTAAGACCTTTTCATAATATCTTATTGTAACCTAGTTTGAGAGCCTTGAAAAGATTTCTGCATACCAAGTTTTATGACTTCCTGAATGTTTGAACCCAACTTGTTCATATTTACTGAAGTTGATCTGAACACAGACTTTATAATATAATTTAAATCATGCTGAGAGTAGTCTTACATTGAAAATTGAGACCAGGAATGCAGGAGGTATAAAGAAGTTGAGTAGTCCATGTGGATGGTTATTCCAGAGACTATGGGAGGCAGTCATAGCTACTAGCCAAGTTTGTGCATATTTAGCTGTACTGAATATATTAAAAATAATTATTTGGGTGACTATTGGATGAGGGTACAGTAACGCCTGACTTCACAGTCTGATCGCAGTCAAAAATTCGGATTTTTGGGGAGGATACCTCTAGAAAGAAGGCTAAAAAGTAGAGCTTTTGCATTTTCATGGATCATGTAAAAATGAACATTAATGGAATAATATTTTATTTGCATATGATATCTATGGTCTCAGCTTCTAATTTTTTTTTGGTATGGCCTTCTGTAAGGAAATTTACTGTATGCCTTTCTAGTGGTCTGGAGTAGCTAGTGGCTTATGTTGTAGTCTTTTGTGATCAAGCTATGCCTTCTCCTCTGAGATCAGCATTGTGAGCTGGCATCTTTAAGAGGTTGCATTGAAACAGAAATGCAGCCATTGCAATATTTTTGGTCTTTTGGAAGACATGTAACTTGGAAGCAATCTTAGGAAGTTTATTGGTGTCCGGTGATTTTATTAAATAAAGTTATGAGAACATTACAGTTGTGATTAAATTAAATATAGCTGAATGTCATTAGTCTGCATAATTTTGAAGGAATTAAAGGTTTGCACTTGCTCATTCAAGAGTCTTTAGAAGATTGAAACAAAAACATCCTTCATCTTGCTGTCCTTGTCTTTGTAAAGAGTTACATGCTGAAAATTTTACTTGAAAGTGATGTGAGTGGAAAACAAACAGGAATTCCCAGAAAACTGTGATTGCAATATAGTCAGGAATAAATTTAAAACAAACAAAAAACAGCAAAACATCCTGCTAGCTTTTTTCTCCTCCTCCCCACCCCCCCTTTTCTTTCCCCACTATTTTTTCTCAAACTGAATTGGGTGTCTAATGGTTAAGTATGCAGCTAGTTCTGGTGATGATGTGAGAGTTTGCGTGTGTGTGTGTGTGTGTGTATGTGTGTGTGTTTTTACTGTCCCAGAAATACCTTGACGAAGTGCTGCCTTGTTAATATGAATTAGTGTTATACTTGTGCTAGCAATTTTAAACTTACATGTATTTGCAGGAAGAACAAGTGCTTTGAGTTGAGAACAGAATATACTTTAGGCATTAATTTTCACAGAAATTTTTGCTTCTGGAAGCTTCTAAGACTTATTATTTTCTTCAGGCTGCGAGGGGAAGATATGTGTAGAATTTTTCCTTATTGTCCAAACCAAGAAAGTGGCATTCATTTCAATGCTGTTGGATTACAGCAAGCATATACTTCCATTGATGACTTTGGCAAATGTTAAAATGAGGAGGACTGGAAAGACTTGGTCTTTTTTTCAAATTCAAAGAAATGTTGGTCAGGATAAGATGGCACATGCTGTGTAACACTGAATGCTGCGTATTTTAGGTGTGGTTTCTGTCTATCTTCCAAGATTATATTTTCTTAATTGCTATAAATTAAATACGAGAAGAATAGAAACATGCTAGAGAGTCTTTCTGTGGAAGCCCATGCTTATTTTTATTAGCAAGTGAAATGAAGTTATTTTTCTACTACTTAATGCTAAATATTTTTGCAATACAATGATTTTCAATTCTATAAACCTCCCTAAAAACATGCAAAGTTGGTAGAAAACTTAGTTGACTTCGACCAGCTTTACATCAGAGCCCTTACATGTAAGAGTGGGATCTGACAAGTCAAGCACTTTAATAGAATTTTTGTGTTGCTGATGGGGTTTTCTGGAAGGGAACATGCTAGTAAAATACATGGTCTTTAAGTATTCTACAGCTATTTACATAAAAAAATGCAATTCAGATAAATGTTTGGCAGAAAATGCAATAATTGACTTGCAGGCGCTTTAGTAAGTTTCTTTGAAGGTTTTCTTAGTCTGTGATACACAAAAGTATTTTTCATTTTCTACAATTTTCTGCCATCAATGGTTGTGGCAGTCAGGTTGTCCTGACTATTCCTGGTGAAGCTGCTGAGCAATTTGAAAGGAGTTCTTTGCAAGAGAATTTGAAATTTTCTTTCAGAATGACTCTTGCTCCCTCTAGTTTGCTGTATGGGGTGAGTGGTAAGGTTATGTACGTGCGTCCTTGTAAAAGAAGATTCTCTGAAATAAAAAAGCTAGGAAGCCCTAGTTCATATAAGATGTGGTGCTCCAGAAACCAACTTACTGCTTTATAACTCTGTGGAATAGAAAGATAAATTGCATTATCTCTAAATTTTTTGAAAAGGATGAACGTAGCTTGACACATTAATCTTGTGTTCTTCCTTGCTTTATAGCTGGAGAAGCTTCCGTGGCTGGGAGGAAATACTGAGGCTACACTATTCATTTCTCATCTTTTCCAGTGTCAGTGATGACAAATGTGAGAGGGAAAATGTCTTGTTGCTGTAGCCAGCGGAATCATAGGTGCCTGCAGTGCAACATCTGTCTGAGTGACAGAATTTTTGACCCTGTCTCCTTGGATATGTGAACAGTTTTACAAGCAGAGACCAGGCTTAAGTGTTTGGCCTTGTGTTTATTGATGTGTTTCATAATTGAACTGATTCTCTTGTTACATGCTAACACCACAAGGCAAGGATATGGCTGAGGAATCTAGTGGACTGTTATTGGAGAGAGCATACTTTCTGACATTTCAAAGTAGTCATAATTTGATATAAATAAGAGTTAGATATGCTTATTTTATACTAAAGATGTACAGCCCAGACTTATTTAACCACCATTATTACCTTGTACTGACTTTCAGTCTGGGGAAGTGTTTTTGTCTTTTTTGTGGCTTTTATTTCTTTGCATATACATATTTAATGTAGTATTATTTCTTTACGAGATGAAAAAAGTCATGCAAAGTGTAACATCTGTCTCTACGGGCTTAGTCATATTCTTTTGTCAATAGTTCCCTTATGTGTCAAGTCTTCTTTGTATATTGATACGTTTTCATGGGTAGGCAGATACTGAGAAAGCGCAGCTGAGATTACTGTGTAGCATTGAGAAGAACATACAGTTTTATACTAGGATCTTGATTGTTTCTCTTTGCAACCTAAGTCAAGAACTGATGAAAATTTTGCAGGACCTGCATGATAGGTCCCTCTAGCCTATGCTCTGGGTAGCTGTTGCTGAATAGCAAGCCAATATCTTGACTCGAGTTAACGCAAAGATAGTACTGTTAACCACTGTCACCAAGAATGATGCTGTTCTACTAGGAAAGTTACATATTTAGAATTAAATTATTATTATAGTGTAATCAATGCAGCACATCTCTAATACTTGATGGGCCTTTTCAGGAACTAAGTATATGATTAGTGAGCATGTGAATGTGAATTTGAAGCTTTCTTTTGTGATTTGTTTGCATTCATTTTGCTTGTATTCCTAATGAAACTAACTGTTCCAATAATGAATTGGCATTGGCAAATAGAATAGTGTAAGATACTATTATTTTCAGGTCAAAACCTACATTTAAATATATAGCTTTGATACTGTTCAGTGTGCTATATGGTTAGTCCAGGTGTTTGAAGGTAAACTTTTAAAGTTAGAAATACTGGCATCTTTTCATGATGTGAGAACCATCTTCCTTGGAAGGACAGTAATACATTTTGAAGGATTTTATTTGTAAAACTAAGGTAATCTTTTTGTTTTAATCCGAGAACAACATGCTGTCATCAGCTATTATTGTAATGGAATACAGTTTTTCTTTCTAGTAGTATCTTAAAAGTTTAGGTAACTTAAGCAGTCATACTGAAAACATATGATAGTGCATCTATGGGAAACAAATAGAGCAAGAATGTGAGCAATTTAAATGCAAAGCCATGATGACAGTCTAATTTTGGTCTTGCACAGGGGAAATCCCTAGTTCTTAGAAAATACCTACAGTGGACACTTCTTGTTGACAGATAAAGAAAATATGTTCCTTATATAAATAAATCATAGGGAATAATAGTGCTGCGATGTGACCTTCTTTTGTAGCTCTATATCCTCTATCTCAGAGGAGATTTAATGGATATACTATTACAAAAGGCCATTTTTCATGTAGTGAAAGTGGCAGCTATATTTTGTCAGCAATATTTCTTTGTGTTTTGAGAGGGAAGAAAGAATCAGTTAAAACTAAGTTTCTATTTCTAGTATTTTTGTCAACGTAAGTTGAAATTCAGGCGCAGTTGTAAAAATGCTATGGATCTGTAATGAAAACAAGAATTTCCTCACATGGAGGTAATATCAATATCAATATTCTTTCTTCAAAATAGTGTCTAGCAGAGAAATATTGGACAGTTTGCTATATCTAGCAGTATAATTATCAGTCAATATTTTTTGGAAAGATTCTACTACCAGTATGTGAAGTGTGGAACACTTCACTTATTTGTGATTTTTTTGGAAAGATTCTACTACCAGTATTGAAGTGTGGAACACTTCACTTATTAGTTAAGTTTGTGACGCTCACATCTGTTTTTTATTCTACAGAGAAGTTTTAAAAAGCAACTTCTTCACATATATATTTGTTTCCCATGCTAAATATTTTACAGTCCTTCACCTACATAATATGCTAATTTCATGTTACTGAAATCATCTCATATTCTGATAAAATTTCAGCCGAGCATAGTTTGAGTAACTGATACACATTAAGGACACATATACATCTTTAAAGGAAGCATGTGTATATGAAAGATGTCTAAACGAGCAGTAAAATATGAGCTACAGAATAGGTATTTGCAGTTTTATTGGTTCTGGATCCAAACAATCTTTTGAAGTGCTAAAGGAGCAGAAAACGTAGAAGACTTGAAATAGAAAAGAGGAAGATAGTTTTCAAAGAGTGATTTATAAGTTTCTGGAAGGATAAGATTGTCACTGGAGCATTGAGAGCTAACAGTAATGAAAGCATATCTACCAGATTTGGAATTAGGATGAAGAAAAATATATTTGGTGATAATAGATATTACTAACAGAGTTATAGCAATAGAGGCAGAGAATCATTCATGGTTTGATTTGGGAGCTGATTGAGAAATTGGCATAACTACAGAAGAGGAAAGCTGCAATCAAAGACAGAGAAAAAGATGGGTTTATATTTGGATATATGCTGTTGTCAGTGGTTGTTGTTTAAAGCTGAAGTACTTCTGGAGATGGTGAAACTATAGAAATAACTAATTTGGGAAACTGGAGAATATAAGGGGCATAGGAAAAATAATATGTAAGAATCTATCTGAAAAAAAAAGTGAAAGATGAAGAATTATCAAATCAAGAA